ATCACTGATACAGACCACTGCGATCACTGATACAGACCACTGCGATCACTGACACAGACCACTGCGATCACTGATACAGACCACTGCGATCACAGATACAGACCACTGCGATCTCAGACACAGACCACTGCGATCACTGATACAGACCACTGCGATCACAGACACAGACCACTGCGATCACAGATACAGACCACTGCGATCACTGATACAGACCACTGCGATCACTGATACAGACCACTGCGATCACAGATACAGACCACTGCGATCTCAGATACAGACCACTGCGATCACTGACACAGACCACTGCGATCACAGATACAGACCACTGCGATCACTGACACAGACCACTGCGATCACTGATACAGACCACTGCGATCACAGACACAGACCACTGCGATCACTGACACAGACCACTGCGATCACAGATACAGACCACTGCGATCACAGATACAGACCACTGCGATCACAGATACAGACCACTGCGATCACTGATACAGACCACTGCGATCACTGATACAGACCACTGCGATCACAGATACAGACCACTGCGATCACTGACACAGACCACTGCGATCACTGATACAGACCACTGCGATCACAGATACAGACCACTGCGATCACTGATACAGACCACTGCGATCACTGATACAGACCACTGCGATCACTGACACAGACCACTGCGATCACTGATACAGACCACTGCGATCACAGATACAGACCACTGCGATCTCAGACACAGACCACTGCGATCACTGATACAGACCACTGCGATCACAGACACAGACCACTGCGATCACAGATACAGACCACTGCGATCACAGATACAGACCACTGCGATCACAGATACAGACCACTGCGATCACAGATACAGACCACTGCGATCACAGATACAGACCACTGCGATCACTGACACAGACCACTGCGATCACTGATACAGACCACTGCGATCACAGATACAGACCACTGCGATCACTGATACAGACCACTGCGATCACTGACACAGACCACTGCGATCAATGATACAGACCACTGCGATCACAGACACAGACCACTGCGATCACTGACACAGACCACTGCGATCACAGATACAGACCACTGCGATCACTGATACAGACCACTGCGATCACAGACACAGACCACTGCGATCACTGATACAGACCACTGCGATCACAGATACAGACCACTGCGATCACTGATACAGACCACTGCGATCACTGATACAGACCACTGCGATCACAGATACAGACCACTGCGATCACTGATACAGACCACTGCGATCACAGACACAGACCACTGCGATCACTGATACAGACCACTGCGATCACTGATACAGACCACTGCGATCACAGACACAGACCACTGCGATCACTGATACAGACCACTGCGATCACAGAACAGACCACTGCGATCACTGATACAGACCACTGCGATCACACAGACCCTGCGATCACAGACACAGACCACTGCGATCACTGATACAGACCACTGCGATCACAGATACAGACCACTGCGATCACTGATACAGACCACTGCGATCACTGATACAGACCACTGCGATCATGATACAGACCACTGCGATCACAGATACAGACCACTGCGATCACTGATACAGACCACTGCGATCACAGACACAGACCACTGCGATCACTGATACAGACCACTGCGATCACAGACACAGACCACTGCGATCACTGATACAGACCACTGCGATCACTGATACAGACCACTGCGATCACTGATACAGACCACTGCGATCACAGACACAGACCACTGCGATCACTGACACAGACCACTGCGATCACAGATACAGACCACTGCGATCACTGATACAGACCACTGCGATCACTGATACAGACCACTGCGATCACAGACACAGACCACTGCGATCACTGACACAGACCACTGCGATCACAGATACAGACCACTGCGATCACAGATACAGACCACTGCGATCACAGATACAGACCACTGCGATCACGATACAGACCACTGCGATCACTGATACAGACCACTGCGATCACGATACAGACCACTGCGATCACTGATACAGACCACTGCGATCACGATCAGACCTGCGATACAGACCACTGCGATCACTGATACAGACCACTGCGATCACAGACACAGACCACTGCGATCACTGATACAGACCACTGCGATCTCAGACACAGACCACTGCGATCACAGATACAGACCACTGCGATCACTGACACAGACCACTGCGATCACTGATACAGACCACTGCGATCACTGATACAGACCACTGCGATCACTGACACAGACCACTGCGATCACTGACACAGACCACTGCGATCACTGATACAGACCACTGCGATCACAGACACAGACCACTGCGATCACTGATACAGACCACTGCGATCACTGACACAGACCACTGCGATCACAGATACAGACCACTGCGATCACTGATACAGACCACTGCGATCACTGATACAGACCACTGCGATCACTGACACAGACCACTGCGATCACAGACACAGACCACTGCGATCACTGATACAGACCACTGCGATCACTGATACAGACCACTGCGATCACAGATACAGACCACTGCGATCACTGATACAGACCACTGCGATCACTGATACAGACCACTGCGATCACTGATACAGACCACTGCGATCTCAGACACAGACCACTGCGATCACTGATACAGACCACTGCGATCTCAGACACAGACCACTGCGATCACAGATACAGACCACTGCGATCACAGATACAGACCACTGCGATCACTGACACAGACCACTGCGATCACTGACACAGACCACTGCGATCACAGATACAGACCACTGCGATCACTGACACAGACCACTGCGATCACTGACACAGACCACTGCGATCACAGATACAGACCACTGCGATCACTGACACAGACCACTGCGATCACTGACACAGACCACTGCGATCACAGATACAGACCACTGCGATCACTGATACAGACCACTGCGATCACTGACACAGACCACTGCGATCTCAGACACAGCTGCTACGTCAGTACAAAGTCCATCCATCCATTTTCTTCCCCTTAATCCATTTCTGGGTCGGGGGGGTGGCAGTCAGAGCTGCACCCAGTCACAGAGCACCAGCCCCTCACTGATCCTCCTGCAGGTGCTACGTCCACAGCTGAGATCTTTCAGCGGGAGCTTCAGGCAAAGTGGGGTTAAGTGTCTTGCCCAAGGACACAACGATAGCAGTCGTCAGCAGTCCAAAGTCAAATACGCAAAAATATCTACTACACAAAAGTTGCACAATGCTCCTTTAAATTCTGAACAAATTATTGATTATGTGTCAATAATTTGATTATTATTTTGAAAACCTGAGTAAATCTTCAGACTCAGGACCAAATAGTTTAAGATAAGATCCTTTATTCATCCCACATTAGAACTGTTTAGGTTTCCATGGTTTAGAGGTTTTTCTTCTGCAGTAATCACAGCTCTGTTGGGTCAAAACACCCTCATGTCCTCAATCTTTGTGTGAATAACTGTTTATTGACCACTACATTAAGTTGAAACAATGTAATCGATTGGTGGTAATTGATCTATTACATTTTTACAGCCCTAAAATGTGTGTCCTAAGAAAGGAGAAACACAGAGGAAGCAGCTACTGTCTGCAGCCAAAACCCTCCTCCTCACATCCTTGCAGCCTCTTCTGTCTGGCTGTAAATGACTTCTGTCTGAGCAGCAGCAGCAGCAGCCAGTGTGAAACAGTTTAACAAGTAGATAAAATAAGTCCTTACTGGATGAGAACGGTCCTGCTGATCGATTAAGAGACCAAAGAGCTGAGACGAAAGCTTTCAAACCACAAGACACAACTTGAACAGCAGCTCAGGAAATACAACTTTAAAACATAATGGAGCCCAGATGGAGATAGTGATCTATCTCTTTGTGCCTGCCATGAGCTGTGACAAATGCAATACTGTGACTATGCCAAGTTTCTTCTTAAAGAGCAACCTTTTGGTGCCATCACAACATTACGCAACAATATCCTAAGCATTCACAGTGAAACAGCAGCTAAATATACCATCATAAACAATAAAAAGCAGGAAAACCGTGTGATAACTTGGTCATGTGGCTATGGTTTCTCCTGGTGGACTCCCTCTGGTAAATATCACAGTAGTTTCGTGCAGAGTGATAGGTTACGATAAAATGTTAAGACCATGTTGCCAAGGCTGTAGAGCTGAAAGCTAAAATGGAACTCCTACATGCAAAAATTCCAAGCACAAGAAAAAAACAAGATTAACAGTTTTAGTCTGATATTTCTACCATAGACTGTAGGAGTGGGCTGACGTCCCACCGATGAAAGAAGCAATTGGAATATATAGCATTTTTCTAACCAACTCATTTTTCCTACTTCTTTGAACCCTGCGGCTTATATGGCGATGCAGACAGTGGAACTCTGGTGTGATGGAGATGGGCTGTAGTCAGAGCAGGGTTATAGACTTATTTTGACTCCATGTTTTACAAGACACTGGTTTATTGTCGAAACAGATGAAGGTCATTAAATCATGTGTCCAAACAGTCTCTCTGACCCATTACAACATGAAAACATGCTGCTTATATTCAAGTGTGGCCTATATGTGGACAATACAAAATGCAGCTGGTCGTACCTTATACAGCCCAATAGAAATTACAATGAGCAAGCTGGAGCCAAGTTTTTGCTGCAAATGAAGGGATTCTAACATGGCTCATATCTGAATTAAATATAACAATATTAAAAAACCAGGATTATAGAGAGCACTGAACCATGGATATTTAAAGCCCAAAATTGCATGTGAGACAAACTGATTCTGAATCAAAGGAGTTCCGTTCTATTATTCTAAAACTATTTTATATGCAATGTGAAATGTGTCCTTGTGGTTGCTATGGTTACTTCATCTCAGCAGTCCAAAACAAACATGAAACATTTAATAGTCAACGTCACTTCTTCCAAACAGCTGCAGAAAACCATTACACGGATATAAACAAAACACGTCTCACCATTAACTGGGACTTGTCCTGGTCCAGCCCTGGTCTGCGCTGATAGAGTCCGCTTTAGTCCCGACCCGGACCGGCTTAGATCCCTAAATCCACTGCGACACAGAACCCCTGACCCCCCTGCATTCTGGGATATTGTCCGTGGCCTGAAGTGCCTCCAGCGACAGGACTTAATGTTCAAGAGGATCTGACTGAGGTCCACGGGGGTTCTGGACGCGTGGGGGAGGGGCGCGCTGAGGTCCGCCGTGTGGTTTTCTGAGGTACTGCTTTTGTGAAGAGGAGACGAAGTGTCCATAGGAAGAGGAGAGACCGGGTCCGAGTCCAGGTCGGGATCCAAGTCCGAGTGTGCGCGGTCCAACAGGATCCTACAGCAAGGAGATATTTCACATTGTTCAGTCTTGGATTTTGTCATTAAAATATGCATACATTGATTCTCTCCATTTATTAAAGCTTGGGTACCAAACTTTTCAAACCAGAATTTTTTTTGTAAATCACATCCGTGTAACTAGTTCCTCACTCTCAAAACAGTCTGGTTCTGTCACTAGTTTTCATGTATTATTGTCACATCATTAAATCAGATTTTTCAGACAATAAAGAGAACCACCCTCTATCAGCCCAAAGCAGGTCTGCAATAAAACTATTCTAATGAAGGAGACAGATGTGAGATGTTAAGTACCGAGCATTAGGAACCACACATCGAGAATCTCAAATTACAATTCACTACGACGGTAATAAACAAGGATAAAAATGAGATCTTGAAACAAAAGCAGGAAATATGAGAGTTCTAACAAACGTGTAAGGATTACTGTTGTTTTAGTTACATTTCAATTTCATTCTACGACCTGTTTAAATCATTTAACTCTTCAAAGTCCAAGGCTCCAAAACAAATTACCAGAATGTCCTATATTAGTTGTAAAATGCGTTTACAATGCCTTCGTTTTGCAGCTGTGAATATTGACAGCAGCTCTGTTCAGGTGGAGGATAAACGACGCCTGCGTGAACCTCGCCTTGTTTACTTCCTGCCGTTCAGAGTTATTTGTACACGGAGCAGGTGGAGCTGGTCTCTGGCCCCGCTCGCTCGTCTGTGAAATCACCCACAATGCTTCACACATGCCGCTCCTGGCCCTTTGACTCAGCAGAGGCCAAATATATACCGACTGTGACCAACGGTACCTCAAAAAAAGGATCACCGTGCTCCTCGCCGCACAAGCCCGTCTGGTATTTATAACACGCAGCAGATGCCAGAATTCTACCTGGCACTGGGCCAACGCCGCAAACAACCTGCTCCTGGCCACTTCCCCCGGATAGGATGAAAACCTGGCAGCTTCCTCCAACACTTTAATATCCAACATCTACATTTTGGACTGATTTGTTCAGCCGCGGGGCAAACAGTGGACCTGCCAACTCTCTGTGTACTCGAATCAATATCAAATTTGCAATGAGGAATAGTTTGACTCCGGGCCAAACAGATCACAAAATGTTAACTGCAATCTCTGTGGTGGTTCTGGGAAGAAAATACATTGTTCTAAAAAAAGGCAAACTCTGCATCTTTTTTTGACGAGAACATTCATCAGTGTGGCATTAAACGCTCCGCTCTCCACAGGCGGCAAGAAGCCAGGTTTTTCCCCAAGGTTATTTATTAAGAAATTACTGAATAAAAATGAAAAAGTAGGATTGACAAGTCTAAGTAGAATATTATCATTAGCAGTAGAGCATTAGCACCCAAATCTGGTTAGTTTATGGCTCAAGTTTCACCAAGATTTGTGAGGTAAAAAGACATTGGCAAATATAATGGTTGTAAAAGATTTAAATATGTAAATAAGAACAAGACACTAAATATATAATACACTTTTGAGCTACAGTGACAATGAACTCACGGTTTAATTTACCAAGTTTATTAGCAAAGCAGACCATAAGAGGGAACCACATGTTTGGAAAGGATCTATCATAGTTTGAAAAACCTGTAAACCCGATCGTGAACAGGAGTAAACCGTACCTGCCGCCTCTGCCCACTCGACGTCTGGCCAAACCCACACATCGCCGCGGTGCGTTCAGGGACGTCAGACAGAATCGGAAACGGGGGTCTCCGAGTCCTCCCTCTGCCGGGCTTAACCAGGGCCAGTTGCCGCTCTGCTCTGGTCGAGACTGGAGGGAAAAACATCAAGAATGGCTTTAGAAACAGAGACTGATGGAACGTTTCATAAAGCTTAACATGAACATTGTTGAAGCACACCAGAGTCGCTTTCCACAAATCCTTGACTGTACAACTTTAAAAATTGGACAGTTTTATAATAGGCCAGATTTAAAACCAGTCCAGGAACATGTATGCAGTGTGCAACCTCAAAATGGACTCACTCTGTTGCTGCATTTGAATCCAGAAAAGAACTAAAAGAACTAAAAGGAACTCAACATCCATGCATTAAGAACAGAGCGGTAGGCCCGAGCTGCGAAAGTGACTCAGTCTGTTAATGGTTTGATAAAAAGGGTTGGATAAAAAACATGTCAATACTTTGTTCAATATTGGGGCAAAAAGGATATTTATATCAGTTCTATGGGGATTCCATAGGGACTAAACTAAACAGCCCTGCAAAAGAAAAACACAAAAAAAACCAACAAAAGTTTCAAATTTGTCCCTTTGGCAGAGCTCCGGGAATCTGGAGGTGGAAACTTAAGTCTGTGTAAAATCCCTTTATCGCAGGCATGAGCACAAAGGCGCAGCATGTGGCTGGGTTCCATTGTGACGCGCTGAGGTTATAAATAGCCGGAGTCGCAGGAGGCCACTCACCGCATGGTAGTAACATCCCGCCTTCCTCCTGAACGCAAAGCTGCCATCTGGGTCGTTCTCCTCCTCTGCGTCTGACGAGCCGGAGACGATCTGAACCAGAGAAACATCCATGACTTTCACTGGACACACTTATTTAAACTTTTACAATTGTTAGGACCATTTACACACAAACAAGGATTAGAAGCCAAGTCTTTTTCTAAAGCATCTGTCATGACTCCTTTTTTGTTAAATTGTTAATTAGCATAGCCTGAAGTATGGCCATCAAACAAAGCCTCAGGATCAAAAGGATAAAGTTGACCTGTCGACCAAAATCCTCTCTCAGCAAACTTTCTACAACAATTCCCAAAAGCAGGGATCATGAGCTGGGATTAGACCATAGTTCCATCTGCCTGATGTATACTGTAGGACTACTATAGCAACAACACAAGTATATATCAGAGTTTACATGTTTATACTTGATCATTTCTTCAAGACATTTCCCTATGTTGTGAATAGGGGTGGGCGATATGGACAAAAATAAATCGATATTTTTTTCCCAACTCCCAATAACGATATTGTCACGATACTTTTTTAAATAAATCATTTTTACACAAAATGATCTGTAATGTTTTGCAAAACATGCAAAAAATATATTAAAAATCAAACTCAAGTAACACAGAAAGAACAAATCCAAATAGACTCAATATTTACTGAAATGTTCAAATAAAGCAGTGATTGGCCTTTTAGGCACACATTAGACGAATGGTCATCTGTCCTTCTCCAATTGTATTATGTATTGAAAAATAAAAAGGACGATTATACGAAAAAGCATATCTTCAAATTGTCTTTCACGATATTATTGCCTACGATATATTTTGCCCACCCCTAGTTGTGACCAATTAAGTATCTCTTAAAGCTGCACTGACTTTGGGATTTTGAAGCCGCGGACTCGCTGGCCTCTTTCTGCTCCCCTCCCCGCAGCCACGAAGCTATGGCCCCCACACACACACACAGTGTTGGGACGGAGCTAGCGTCTCCCAACATGGATAATACATGGATATGGATTTGCACGTGGATGGCGTGACCATAGAACGATAGAACCGGGAAGTGCGGAGGAACGGGACTTTCTTTTGGCTGTCTCGCTGTGTAAGCAGTAACCGGTGACGAAGACGAGGAAGTTTCAGGTTAGCTCCTCGGTTTGACATTTCCCTGAAGAAGGCCCTGCGTGGCCGAAACGCGTTGGTCCCTTCTGCATTAAAGGACTTTTATCAGAGTGCCTCGGATTTCACCCTGTCTTTATTTTTCCATGCAAAAGGGTATTTTTCGTTTTTCAATAGCTCCTCGGTTTGTTGTGCTAACTCAGCCGTCTGTGCTAACGGACCTGTAGATTTCTCACGAAAGTGGGGGCCAGTGGTCCGCTGTGATTGGACACAATCTGAGACCTGAAACACATTCTCTTCCTTGTTTCATCAAAACTTGATCTGAAATATAATGTCACGCCAGCACAAATCTGTGATACTATTTCTTCAAAAGGACGTTTATCCCAAAGCACTGTATGGACATGGATAGTATTTTAGTAATGAATACAAAAATGAAGTCAGTTCGTGCAGCTTTAATCTTAGTCCTGCGGCCTGTAGAGCTTTAGTATTGAACCTTCTGGTTAATAGCAAAGACTTTTTGCTTCTATTGAGGAGCTGAACGATAACACTAGTGAGATGGAAAACTGCATCTTTTTGAGACCACAAACTGGAGGAAATGCACGGTCCTATAGTAATATACGTATACATTCTGCAAACCTCACAAAACAGTAGGGGACAAACTTCTTATTCATACAATATAGTTTGTTGGTTTGTGAGAAACGTTCACTGTTCATGTGCAACACAATGTCAACACGTCTCTGTGTGTGGCCTAAAGCCAACTAACAACTAGAATCAACAGGGCAATGCCTGAAGCAGCTTTTGGATGAATAAGAAAAATCCAAACCATTTGCTTTGCACAGAGTCAGTTTTCTTAATGTCCTCGTCCTCAACAAACCTGCTTAACTAATGAAACACACTCAGATATTCCCTGTTGTACAATTTAGACGAGACAATTACAGCGGCTGCACCAAGTCTCATCTGTGAAAATGTCAGAAGTTTTAAAAGTTCCCAATGCAGCAGTCAGACTCACTACGGTCGATAAATCTATGGTCTCCATCTCGCGGGGAATTCTAATAAGTCCACTTCATTTCACACAAAAGATGGAGTCTTCTGTAGATGAGAAACTCCATCTTTTCAACTATAAACCACATTTTATGACTGAATTCCCTATTCAAAGATAAAAAACTTTAATACTAAAGCACCAATGTTTGAATATTAAACTTTCATATTTTTGATGTATGCGAAAAAAGGTCAAGATTATTACATTTATCAAAAATTATTCTAATAATGTCAGAAGCATGAAGACTGGATAAAGTCAATAAATCCTTTGAATGGTCACACAGAGCAAATTGTAGCCAAAACTCTGTAGCAAAAAACTTAATACTTAATATAACCTTTTAGAACAGAGCAACATCTTACAACACAGTTCATATTGAAACAGAGTTTCAGAATCTCGACAATACGTCTTTAAATCGTGGCGTTTTAGTAACGCCGTACACAAGCAGATAGAAGTGTGTACCTGTGAGAAGTCCTCGTCGGAGCTGGGGAAGTCGTACTGGTTCAGGTCCTTGGGGCTGAAGAAGACGGGGCCTGAGTGATGCGCCGCAGACAGAGGGACCTTTGGCTTCTTCTCGTATTTCCTCTTGGTTCTGACCGGCTCCGGTTTCTCCGGCTGAAACAGATTTGGATTGGATCAGAAACGGCCCCTGATCGAATGTGTTTGAGGATTTATTTCACTAATTTAATACAAAGCAAAAACACAATTGTATATCATTTAGTAATGATTGTTTGTTGAACCTGCTTTTAAGTAGTTTTAAGTTTTAAAGTATTTTAAAACTCAATGCCCAACAGTCTCTGAAGATGGAACATGGAAGCTTTAACTTTGGACAATAATATATTTTTCACAATATTTACAACTTCATTATGGAAATACATTTTGAACAGGTGACATCACAAACGTTGACGGCGGTGCTTTTAAAACAAAAGAATTCTCACAAATGTACACAAACCGAAGAAACACTGACTCCCTTCAGCTGACGCCGAAATTGGTGGAAATGCTCTGTCCCTAAATCCCAGATGGGTCATAAAGTGAGTGTGACCGAGGCTCGCTGCGTGGCGAGTGTTGACGCTGAAGTCTTTGCGATGCGAGACACGCCTCGCTCGGCTCTCGTCGGGTCATTGATATGCAGATGGAGCCACGTGCCAGATGCCGCTGTGTGAGGCAGATGGCTTCATTCCCCGCCTTTTAATCCCGTCACCCAGAGACCCCAGAGCACCTCCAGCGGGACCTACCCCTCCCCACGAGCTCACGGCTCCATGGGGATTAGACACATGCGATCCAAAGCAGAGTGTGAGGAGAGCGCTGCAGAGGGGAGGTAATGAGGCAGCAGGGAGTGGTGTAAACAGGTGTAAACAGACTAGAGCAGGGGAGGCAAGCAGGGGCCACAGGAGAGAGGGGAGTGCGAGGAGAGAGAGGGGAGAGAGAGGGGGGAGTGAGGAGAGACAGGATAGAGAGGGGAGGGTGAGGAGAGACAGGAGAGAGAGAGGAGAGGGTGAGGAGAGACAGGAGAGAGAGCGGGGAGAGAGGAGAGACAGGAGAGAGAGAGGAGAGGGTGAGGAGAGACAGGAGAGAGAGCGGGGAGAGAGGAGAGACAGGAGAGAGAGGAGAGGGTGAGGAGAGACAGGAGAGAGAGGGGAGAGAGGAGAGACAGGAGAGAGAGAGGAGAGGGTGAGGAGAGACAGGAGAGAGAGCGGGGAGAGAGGAGAGACAGGAGAGAGAGGAGAGGGTGAGGAGAGACAGGAGAGAGGGGGGAGGGCGAGGAGAGACAGGATAGAGAGGGGAGGGTGAGGAGAGAGCGGGGAGAGAGGGGAGAGAGCGAGGAGAGAGAGGAGAGAGTGAGGAGAGACAGGAGAGAGAGGGGAAGGTGAGGAGAGCGCTGCAGAGGGGAGGTAATGAGGCAGCAGGGAGTCATGTAAACAGGTGTAAACAGACTAGAGCAGGGGAGGCAAGCAGGGGCCACAGGAGAGAGAGGGGAGTGCGAGGAGAGAGCGAGGAGAGACAGGATAGAGAGGGGAGGGCGAGGAGAGAGAGGGGAGGGTGAGGAGAGACAGGAGAGAGAGAGGAGAGGGTGAGGAGAGACAGGAGAGAGAGCGGGGAGAGAGGAGAGACAGGAGAGAGAGAGGAGAGGGTGAGGAGAGACAGGAGAGAGAGCGGGGAGAGAGGAGAGACAGGAGAGAGAGGAGAGGGTGAGGAGAGACAGGAGAGAGAGCGGGGAGAGAGGAGAGACAGGAGAGAGAGAGGAGAGGGTGAGGAGAGACAGGAGAGAGAGCGGGGAGAGAGGAGAGACAGGAGAGAGAGGAGAGGGTGAGGAGAGACAGGAGAGAGAGCGGGGAGAGAGGAGAGACAGGAGAGAGAGAGGAGAGGGTGAGGAGAGACAGGAGAGAGAGCGGGGAGAGAGGAGAGACAGGAGAGAGAGGAGAGGGTGAGGAGAGACAGGAGAGAGGGGGGAGGGCGAGGAGAGACAGGATAGAGAGGGGAGGGTGAGGAGAGAGCGGGGAGAGAGGGAGAGAGAGGAGAGAGAGGAGAGAGTGAGGAGAGACAGGGAGAGAGGGGAAGGTGAGGAGAGCGCTGCAGAGGGGGAGGTAATGAGGCAGCAGGGAGAGTAAACAGGTGAAACAGACTAGAGGCAGGGGAGGCAAGCAGGGGCCACAGAGAGAGGGGAGGGAGGCGAGGAGAGAGGGGGGAGGGCGAGGAGAGACAGGATAGAGAGGGAGGGCGAGGAGAGAGGGGGAGGGCGAGGGGGGAGGGTGAGGAGAGACAGGATAGAGAGAGGAGAGACAGGATAGAGAGAGAGAGAGAGAGGAGAGACAGGATAGAGAGGATAGAGAGGAGAGAGAGGAGAGACAGGATGAGAGGATTAGAGAGGAGAGAGAGAGGAGAGACAGGATAGAGAGGATAGAGAGGAGAGACAGGATAGAGAGGAGAGAGAGGAGAGAGGATAGAGAGGAGAGAGAGGAGAGAGAGGAGAGAGAGAGGAGAGACAGGAGAGAGAGGAGAGAGGAGAGAGAGGATAGAGAGGAGAGAGGAGAGACAGGATAGAGAGGAGAGAGAGGAGAGAGAGGATAGAGAGGAGAGAGAGGAGAGAGAGAGGAGAGACAGAGAGAGAGAGGAGAGACAGAGAGAGAGAGAGAGAGGAGGGAGAGAGGATAGAGAGGAGAGAGAGAGGAGAGACTGGATAGAGAGGAGAGAGAGAGGATAGAGAGGAGAGAGAGAGGAGAGATAGGATAGAGAGGAGAGAGAGGAGAGAGAGGAGAGGAGAGAGAGAGAGGAGAGAGGAGAGACAGGAGAGAGAGAGAGAGGAGAGACAGGATAGAGAGGATAGAGAGGAGAGACAGGATAGAGAGGAGAGAGAGGAGAGACAGGATAGAGAGGATAGAAGAGGAGAGAGAGGATAGAGAGGATAGAGAGAGGAGAGAGAGGAGAGAGAGGAGAGGAGAGAGAGAGGAGAGAGAGGAGAGAGAGAGAGGAGAGAGAGGAGAGGAGAGGACAGGATAGAGAGGAGAGAGAGGAGAGACAGGATAGAGAGGATAGAGAGAGAGAGAGAGGAGAGAGAGGAGAGAGAGAGAGAGAGAGAGAGAGGAGAGACAGGATAGAGAGGAGAGAGAGGAGAGACAGAGTAGAGAGGATAGAGAGAGGAGACAGGATGAGAGAGGAGAGAGAGAGAGAGAGGAGAGAGAGAGAGAGAGGGACTGGAGAGAGAGGAGAGAGAGGAGAGAGAGAAGAGAGAGAGAGAGGAGAGACAGGAGAGAGAGGAGAGAGAGAGGGAGAGACAGGATAGAGAGGAGAGAGAGGATAGAGAGGATAGAGAGGATCGAGAGAGGAGAGAGAGGATAGAGAGGATAGAGAGGATAGAGAGGAGAGAGAGAGGAGAGACAGGATAGAGAGGAGAGTGAGGAGAGACAGGATAGAGAGGAGAGAGGAGAGACAGGATAGAGAGGAGAGAGTGAGGAGAGACAGGATAGAGAGGAGAGACAGATAGAGAGGAGAGAGAGAGAGAGGACAGGATAGAGAGGAGAGAGAGGAGAGACCAGGATAGAGAGGAGAGAGAGAGGAGAGACAGGGATAGAGAGGAGTGAGTGAGGAGAGACAGGATAGAGAGGAGAGAGGAGAGACAGGATAGAGAGGAGAGAGGAGAGACAGGATAGAGAGGAGAGAGGAGAGACAGGATAGAGAGGAGAGAGAGAGGAGAGACAGGATAGAGAGGAGAGAGTGAGGAGAGACAGGATAGAGAGGAGAGAGGAGAGACAGGATAGAGTGAGGAGAGACAGGATAGAGGAGAGAATACAGGGAGGCGTAATGTGAGGAGAAAAATAGGAAGAGAAAGAGGGCAAGGAGAGCTAAGGAGAGAGACTGATAGAGAAGAAGAGATGGAAAAAGAAAGAGTAGGGGAAACACAAGGGGAGATGGAGAGAGAATACAGACAGAGAAGGGGAGAAGATTGAGAGAGGAAAGAGATGAGGTGAAAGAGGGGAGAGGAGAAGCTGGAGGTGAGATGGTGAAGGCCTGAAGAACTAATGTGTCTCGTTAAAGGAGCATAACCTGTCTCTGGGTCTGCTCTGAGTCTCGCTGAAACTGAAGTTCAGACTGGAGCGTGAAGACGGCAAGGACAGGAGTCAGCGCTGCGTGGGCTCATGACGCAGCTGAGAACCCGCCGCTCACACTGGTTTATCAATATCACCTGATTTCACAATTGACACGGCTTCGTTCAAAATAATCGAAAAACTCAGCTAAAACTCGTTAAAAATGATTGCTTGCCTCTAGAGTTGCAGCCAACAATTATCAAATTAAATTTTCAATCAATACTTAATCATATATTCCATTGATTGTTACAGTATAAGCATAATGGTGTATATGTATATTTAATGTTGGAATGTTTGTATTAAAAATAGACCTAAAATGTTATTTCACACAGAAACGTCTTTAATAAATCTATCTTCAGAGGAATGTTGGAAATTAGTGTTTTTTAGTGTAAATGACTGAGGGACTAAAATAGTGATCAAAGCTGTTTGTAATACATTTTTATCAACTATTCATTTGCAGCTCATGAATATTACGAGTGTGAGTACAAGCTTTAAAAAGCAAGCCCTCGTATATGATTGCTTCTCATTCTCTTCAATTGCTGCATATTGTTCACATGTAGAAGTGTATTTGAATCATTCCATGAAAAAGCAGCCCTTGAAACCTCCACAGGCAGCGGAGAACATTGCGTCCGTGAGGCTTTGTGCTTTTGAATGTGTTTCTCTGCGGTGAATGGGATGAATACTGAAGGTGAGGGCTAACTCAATAACATGTGCTCTGCCATTGAACACTCACTCCTCCGCACATTATTCACTCTTTCTTTAAGAACATAAACCAAAAAGACATTCCGAAATTGATTTGTTGATCTGTATTTCTATTCCATTTTGTATCAACACAATCCAACTGACTTCTAAGGCTCAGTAAACTTTGAAAGTGTTTTAATCTTTTGGCCTCAGTCATCCAGCACAACAGGCAGACAAACATATGGGATCATGTGTGTGCAGACGCGAGGAGGAGGCCAGCGGTACCTTCTTGTAGTCCTTGAAGTCCAGCAGGTCCGGGTGTCTGTATTGGCTGCTGTTGGACAGAGGCAGCAGTGGGATGTTGTACACAGGTTTAACCAGAGCTCTCTGGGCCAACGCCTCAGCCATCACCTCCTCTCCCAGGTCCGGCATCACGTTTCTGAGGAGAACGTGAGACAAGTGAGTGACAAGAGCATTTGTGGATCTTCTCCTGAGAGGCCTCCAGTGTGGAATGTGAATGGAAATCTGCAACAAGTGGCTGGAACTATGCAGCACAGAGACATTTTTCGTTTTTTCCCAACCACCTTATAGCATCACTAACAGGAGGGGTTTTAATCGGCGCTTCATATGTCATTCATTCACTCCATATACGGTGGTGATAAACTACTATTGTGTGGTTGGCTACAAACTTTGCAGCATTTAAAAAAAAACTTGTGTTTGAGTGTAGTCAGGATAGGGCCAAAAGACTACCTGGAGTTGAAATTTGGTGTGTAGATGAGATTTGATGTTAGGATGGCCTTATTAACTCATTGCCTGCCAGCTCATTTCAGAACAGGTACTCCCATATTGCCAGCTGTTTCTGATGATTTTTATAGATTTCTCAAGACCCACAGAATATTGTGTACTATGACTATCTGAAATCCAAAACCATATTCTGAAAGAGTGGGCTGTCTACTTTAATCAGCAAAAAGAATTTTGTTTCTAGCTTGTTTCGTTCCCCTGTAATCCCCAGTTGAGTAGATGGAAGTTTTACTGAAATCACCAGAAAGCTGAGAAAAAAGAGGCACCACATGTGCACCTAACAGTTTTCAAACCATTCAGAGAGAAATGCTGCCACCTGCTGGCTCGATAAAATATTGCTTCAAGCCAATCCCCATACATATTAGATACAATAGACATCTGGGAACGTGAAAATACCGGGACCAAATAAAAACGCAATTGATTTGGTTTGACGTGTTAAACACGTCAATGGCGGTCAATGAGTTAAATTCTTAGACAATCCGTGGTGTTGGCGGGGTATGCGCTCTCCGAATGCATGTACTATTACTTTACATTTATGGCTCCGTTAGAAAAAGTTGAATCAATCCACATGAACCAAACAGTACCAAGGTTTTACACTTTTGTCAGTGTATATCACCAATAGTCTAATTTTGTCAATTAAAAAAAAAAAGTGACAATATTCCAAAAATCATGTAAGTAGTGGAAGAATAAAATAAAGTCTGATTTATGAACCATTGATATTTCTTTCCAAAAGGCTTCGTTTCAGCACCTGCCCAAAACACTGACGTATAGTGACCTAATGACATAACCGTTACCAAAGAAGTCAGACACTATGTCCTGGTTTAAATGCTTTACTTTTCCTGTTACCTCTCACTGAATGTTTAGGGGTGGTCACACTGCATCATCCATCCATTTTATTGAAACCCTTTAATCCATTTCTGGGTTCAGGGGGGGTGACAGTCAGAGATGCCACCCAAGTCTCATAGCACCTGCCCCTCACTGACCCTCTGCAGGTGGTGAGTCCACAGGAGGACGGCTGCTCTCTGAGTGTGAGCATAGCCTTGATCTTTCAGTGGGGGCTTTGGGCAAAGTGGGGTTATGTGTCTTGCCCAAGGACACAACGACAGCAGTCATCAGTGGGAGTCGGTGGAGAAGGTGCAGAGGTGGGAATTGAACCCACGACCTTCTGGCCTTAAGGACCAATGCTCTACCAACTGAGCTACTGTCGCCCTTTGTCCGGACATTGAAATGTCACCGCAAATCAAAGCACTTCAAGGAGACAAGTCCAATTTAAGCACTCTGACAGCAGCTCCGGGTGAGAAATTCCATTCCCGAACTTGTCATGTTCAGATGGATCACTAACGTGGCCGCTCGGATGGCAGGGAAGATAAAAAATAAATTACGCTGCAAAAGAAGCCAACACATTGGGATCTAGTTGCGCGTGGAGGCAGCAGGGGTAGTGCAAGGACTCGGGTAATGGAGCAGCACAGCAACCGAAAGAGAAGAAAGGACCCATCGATGTGTGACCCCAATAAGGTAGCGTGCCAGTCATCGGAGACAAAGGTACCGGCTTTAATGTGCCTGTCCGCTGCCCCAGAAGTTTCCAATTATGTGCCCCTACTGCATCCCCACGGCCCCCTAAACACAACGAAGGCTGAAAAGAATCTGGTACCCCCAACCACTAGTGTAGCCAGAGTGTGCCGGGATAGCCGTTGCCCTGGCATGGGGCGGGGAAGCGCGGTGCGGCATCAATGGTGGGGGGGTGTGGGGTGGGGCAAGACCCCATTGCAACTTGATGATCCATCCAGAACAGTGTACATAAACGTGACCCCAATTAACACGGCGGCCCAGGTCTCCACGAGAGACGGGGATCAGGGCCACAGTCGTAGTGCAAAGTGTGAAAATGTGGCGGCCCAACAGCCTCTGGTGGGGCTGGTGATGTAAAGGAGAGACACCGTCATGCCTGACTATAAAATGGGACGAGGCCCTATTGACAAATTACTTTTCGGCTCTCGTATGCACTGCAGTGGAACAACACTTGCTAAGAGATAACTCTTTCCGTCAAGGAGGAAGACGTTAATGGGGACACACTTTGTGACTGCAGCCGTGAAGCTGAGCACACTGGCAGTTGTATTTCATACAGTCCATTAGGCAGTAATACAGTGTTTTTGGAAGTGAATAGTGAGGATGTAATGGTACCCAGCAAAACATATGCCAAATAACACTGCACCTGTTCTGCTAGTGCCAACTCGACACATTTCAAATTAAAACTCATTGGGCAAATACCTTACACCATGGGCCACTGGCAATAGATACCATTCTCCACACTTCAAAGGGAGTTTACTTGACCCATTCCATTACTGGGCCCTCTCGGGATACCACTGACACCAGAAATGGCTCGCGGTATGGGGGACCATGTTGACAACCTCATCCCATCTCCAGGTAGATGATTGCAACGAGCACAAAGCATGATTTTAACACTCAGCGTTCACACTCTGCACTTATATTCAGAATGTTGACATACGCAATAATTAGTTATTTTGTTAAATCTAAAACATACGTGTCTTAATGCTGACGAGGCCAAAGCTGATGCTTTTCTCCACCATACAGCTACCTCCAACTCCCCAGTGGGGTCCACGCTGAGGGGGAATGTCCATTGACGTGGGTGCATAGAATACCACATACCTGGGAGTTATATTGATGGACCGCCCTCACTTTTAACACGATGCACTTGTGCAGACATTAAAAATTAAGCTGGGACTCTGAGGAGCACAGGGACTGGACTCCTGTTAGTGCCCAGAGTCAGCCCTCAACTAAGGGGCGCCAGCTTTTCAGATTCCATCCATCCATCCATGTTCTACCCTATAATCCATTTCTGGTTCAGAGGGGAGGTGGCAATCAGAGATGCCACTCCCAGTCTCCTAGCACGCCACCATGCCCCCATCTGACCCGTGCGCTTGTCAGACATTCATGCTGCAAACACTCTGAGCAGTCCGTTCCTGCAGAGGTGGACCGGCCCTCCTCTCTGACAATGTTTTAAAACAGGTTCCCGACAGTTTCTGTTCAGCTTGGCTGCTCTACAACTGAGGGATTGTATTTTATATTTTTATCTTTGTTAATGTACTGTGATTATTTATGACTTTAATGCTAATTTTGTTCCGCACTTGGCGGAGGCCTTGTGTATGAATTGTGCTTATCAATCACTTGCCCTTGCCGTAAAAGGCGCTGTGGCTGCCACTTTATATGTCCTTAAGTCTCTGGGGACCTTTTTAATTTGCTGCGACCTCTTTGCGTCTTGAAAAAGTTGTACTCTATTTGATCATGCTTCCCTGAGGTTTCATCCACAAACTGTCGGACGCTCAGACCCAATCACTGAGCTGTACGCTCCCTGTCCCCTAGGAGGCTAGTGTCATTGGTACCCTCATATTACAAGGCTCCTCATGGGCCTCGCCTCAGACCTCTGTACATTACTCACACAGAGGAGCACCAGAGGTCCTATGCACTCGAGGTCCCATGAGAGCAGCTGTTACCTTCCTGTGCCTTTGTCGCACCCCGAAGCTCCTTCTGCTTGGAACCATGCTCCAGCAGCAGCCTGGAAGCTGACCCAAGCTTTAGTTCTTCGACTGCTTTTAACTCACAAACTCCGCAGATTTGGAGGTTGTGGATTGCCTCATATCACTGTAAATGTTTTACTTGATGTGTGTGACCTGTCTACCTGGTCATTTTGTAGTTTTGTTTTGAATGTAATTGTGTATCTGTAGTGTGTTAGTGTAACGTTTGCTGCCGTTTGGCCAGGATCTCCCTTGAAAAAGATTCTGAATCTCCATGGGATTTTTCCGGGAAAACATAAGGTTGCATAAACACACACTGTAATAACATAAATGAACGTGTAGTCAGTGTGTGGGAAGAAGTACGTCTGGCCGTCTCTGAGCTGGACTGCTGCCCCTCCGTGCATCCCGGCCAAAACTGGAATGACAATCGGAGAACATTGGAGGATGCGTTTGTTTACGTCGGTCGTATGCAAACAGGATCGTAAGCTCCCCGTGACCCTATCGTCCAACTAATACACACCGTACTACCGGCCGCATGGTACGAGTATTGGTAATCCTTTTTGCTTAGAAAATCGTCCAGGTTTTCTGGTCCTTGTGTGTTGCATTTGTTTACGGTCGTATTTGCTTAAAATTTAAGAACGCACGTATGAGCGTCGGCTCGGTATTAACAACAGGAAGACTCAAAATCAACAAATGCCATAAGAACTGTTTCGCAACGCATTCTAACTCCCCACCACATGAAAGACACCATTCACATTCCTTTCATAATCTCCACTAACTGCTGAAAGGTGTTCACCCGAGCTGTTCCAGTCTTACCTCTTCTCCCCGATCTCCAGCGTGAGGTGCAGGAGTTCCCTCTTGCTTTTCTCCTCTGCGTTTGCTCATCTCCACCTGGGTGACCGCCCCTCGATCAGGTCCCCGGCGCCGCTTAGCATCTTCTGCATAAGACGGCCTCGAGGTTCTTTCGGTTCTAGAATCAACACAAGAGACGCACAAAGCATCAATCCCCCCATGGCGCCGGTTAGTAGGTCAGTTTGGGGGTGTGGCTTTGCAATATCACGTCACATGCGACCAATTGGAGTTTGTCCAGTGGATCACAGGCTTGTGTGTATCAATCGCTGAAACAATAGAAAAAATAAAAAAGATTACAGAGATAAGATACTGATTTTTCCATCCGCCAGTGCATTTGCTGTGCACTTTTTTTGTCAGGAACAGTGTGGCCTTGTTAAATTCAGGCATGCCAACTAAATTGTTATTGCCACAAGATATTACATGGGTTTTTAGACATGCTAGTATCCAGTAAAGCCACCGCAGCAGAGTTAGAATTAAGACTTTGTAAACCGTTAAATGGCAAGCTGTTTAAACCAATCAAAGGTGGTGCTAGCTTTTCCTATAGCCATAACACCAATATTTTCCTTAGATCCACTGCAGACACGTCTGCTCCGTTTGTAATCGACGTTGCACCATTGGCCATTTACAACCCGACCTGACAAAGGCTTAGTAAAATTGCGGATCCATTCATACTTCATTGGGGTCTTGTTAGACACCAAACCATACACCCTATCTCCCTCTTCTCCGAATGTGAAGCATTTAAGTCTACGTCAATGTAATTACAAGGTGAAACCCAATTGTGTGTGAAAGTCCCCGTTTTACTGGGAAAGTACACAGGTTATCGGTGCGAGAATGCCACTTTGTACCTTTCTGGTCTGCATCTTCTCGGTCCTGCGTATTCGAAAAGGCCCCGTATGGGGTCGCTGCGTGTAGCTGGATCCGTCCCCCGTTTCTCCTGTTTGAGGCTGGGGATGAGAGTTCCACTTTTACAGTTTTTTCTCTCTTGTGGCTCCAGTCTTCACACACTCCTTTATCCACTCGACGTCCTCCCATCAGACGCACTTGGCCTCCTGCAGACTCCAGCTGCAACACACAAAGACCCAGTCAATAACTCCACCAGCAGCCTTCAGTGGTGATCCCAGGACACTCAACATTCAGCATTTATGGACCATTCCGTTTGGCCCATCAGATGGACCCAATCAGTTGTCCATTATGCGCGGCATTTCCTTGGGTATGAAACCGTTCATTCTCTGATGTGTCCAACGGCAACAGTACACCCCAGTGTGGGGTACAAGTAGCGGTCCCGAGAGGACGACTTGTTATGATTTTAGGGCACTACGCGCACTGACTTGCACCGGCCCACATCCATCCGTTTCAGAGCCAAAACAATAGGTAAGTAGTTAACCTTTCGAGTCATCAAACGACTAACGGTATGTACAGCGCCTCTACCGTCGGTCTGTACTGGCGCGCAGATGTACTACAAGATTCCAGAACAGATGGGGTTGACGTTGAACGGGCTGGATGGGGACCTCAAACGTGGAATGCGACTACAGGCAACGGAATGCTGTCAACTTTCTCCGAGAACAGTTTTTCACATGACTGGTAGATTTGAGCCCTCTGTACATAGATTCAGCCTTCAGTTCCCAGACTAGAGGTGGAGAAAGGCTGTACCCTCACACCCGAAACCCCACACGCTCCACCCACTGGGGTGACCCTCGGCAGGCTCTTACTGCAAAGGCCAGAAGAAGGTGAGCAGTAAACCAGTATGGGTGGAGCGAACAGGTGTACATGTCTATGACTGAAACACCACGAATGAATGCTACTGGCGGCCGTTTGCTGAAGGGGTCTGACCTGCTGTGCCCGCTGCCCGTTCTACCAGGCGGATCGATCCTCGCCTCCAACTGCATGCTCATGGTGATCATCCATCTATCCTATTTTCCGCATTCGCACCTACCAACAGGACGATCCCTCGGCGTCCAAGGTCGTAGTCCGGATGCTCCGTATGTCCCAGGGACCGGCGAAAGCTGGCACAACGCTAACAGACAAAGTCAGTATTTCGGGGGCGAGGATAATCTCGGTTCAGATCCCATACAGATTTCCTCAGCAAAAAGCGTATAGCCACTGCCCATTCATTCCCTCCGAGGTGTGTTGTGTGATAGCCGTTTTAACATCGGTCCACGTTTTAAAGTGACATGTGATGTATGCAAGAATACTGACTTTGAAAGGTTACTCTGCGCCGCCTCTCATGTCCAGGTTGGCTGAACGGCTCCGGGTGAGGTCCCCCAAATAAAAAGATAAGACACACCGTATCCCCAGCGAGCCCATACCGGGCCCACCCACATACAGGCCCGGGCGTCGTCCCAATACACACCCGTAGGCACCTGAGTGGGGAGGCGTAGCCCATCCCCAGCCTCAGCAGTAGTGCCTTCCCAGTGCGGGAGAGCACTCGCACCCACATTCTCCCTAAGAATTGGTGTATCGTGCCCCCCAGGCTATCTAGGAGCCAAATGATCGCCGCCCGAACGTACGATCCACATTGGATCATGTCACACACCACGATCACAAGTGGGTGTGAGTTCACCCCAGCTACGATCTGACAACCGATCTGCCTTTATTGATCACAGAGTATAAGTTGTGTACAATATGAGATCGGTTTATTTAATGTGCTTATTCTATAAGGCAGCATATGGCGCTAATAATACGGTACAGGGGAACTGTAGGCACCTCAGACACATTCGGAGCTGCCAGACGCACACACACAGGCAGACATGTACCTACACTCATGACCAGACACACATGCCCACACCCAGACACCCATGGATCACCACACAGGCAGCACACCGCGACACAGACGGGACCCATGTACACACACAGAGACAAACGCGGGTACAGCCGCCAGTCCCGCGGGACCACCAAAGCAAACTGTCACAGTCGGACCGCTCGGAAGTTACCATTATGAGGGATCGCTATTAATAACAACTACCACCACGTACTCATGACAGCCTCCCCTGAGATCGCCCCACGCAGAGTGGCAGCAGCATAGCGGAGCGACTGGTCAACCACAACGGCCACCAACACACGCCCATTTAAAAACCGAACTCGCACACCCCTCGGCGCTTCCCTCAACGCTCCGCTCACACACTATGCCGAGCGCGGGGGGTGGGGGCATGGGGGGGGAGCCCTCCATTGTGAGGCGCGGCGTTGCCCCGAACTGCGGGCGTGACCCAACAGCTATCGTCCATTAGGCGGTGCGAGTGACGGGATATACTCTGCGAGACTTGGCTCCCGGCGTGCTCGAATGAGCGCTATGCATGTTGCCAAGTATAACGATATAGATTTAGAATTAATAATCAACTTATTCAAGAGTCACATATATCGCTTCTGGCTACATTAACATTTACATTGAAATTACATAGGAATGGAGATGGAGTATCGAGTCTTTGTTACATATTATTTATGCCATACACGGGGCATTATTGTCTAAAAGTCTTCTAGACCAAGCTAAACTGTATGCGCAACAAGCGTCGGAGGCGGTATAAAATTGGGTGTATATTTATCGTTATCGTGAGCACTTGTATCGTTGTCCGATCGACGTATCGGCAGGTTACCCTTAGGTTTCCCACCCATAAACTAATGCCTCCATGGGATCACCCTCACTCCAACGTACGCCACCGACCTCCACTGTGCGCTCAAAGTGGTGGTGTTTGAGGGCTGGCTTGGAAGGCCCGCGCCTTCTTCTCCTCCCAAGAATTGGGCCAACCACCCTTCACCTCCCCGCAGCCATGCACGGGGGCAAACTCTAGGGCCAAGAGAGCATTTGTAAGGCCCAGGGTGATAACTTGGAGACGGGCCTACATGTAGTAACCCATCGAGAACAAAGAGAATAAGATTCGGATCACCGCATCCCCCCGTGTGGACCCCCAATGACTAACGTCCCATTTTAAACAATCATGCGACCAGATTAACACCCAATTTGGTTTTTGCACCGCTTATCAAAAGGGATGCTAATGAACACCCAACCTTGGATAACGTACCACAATGCAAATATATCAGTGTTTGACGAGCCCATACGCCAGTTACCACGCTGCACACAAGGACTCGACTATAATACAAACAAAACTGTCCATAGGACACAAGGCTTTTCTCTTCTCCGAGCGGTCCTACGGCCCAAAGTATGTGCAAAAAGAACTACACACTGTTCATTTTCTGGACTACGGGAGGAGATCCCCTCTACAACATAAGAATAACACCCCGCCCTTCATCACAGCCACTTCTGTGACGACTAATAGCTGGGGCCAGGAGTTTGGGGCTCACCAAAGACTAAGAGGCTAAGGCCTGGATGACAGAGCGCAACCCCAGAAAAAGCACAGATTATCTGAAAATATATGATTCCGTGATATAGCGCGAGGGGGGCTCGCCACAGATACCTTCCCCCAAATACACATACACTCTATTCATGCCGTAGCCGCCCCTTTCCGGCAGCTGCCTTGTACCAATTAAAACCACCAAACCATCTAATTACCACAAACTACACCTCCCCCAAAACACCCACTCAAACTAGCCAAGTGGTAACCCATCTGCACATTGTTTCCACTACGGCACCACTATGTGCCCACATCCCTGAAAGGCGCCACCAGGTTTGGCACGAGATCCAAAGGTAAAGCGGTGACAGGGCCAATGACGGCCGATCATGCGGCCCCCGTAGACACCGTTACCACCATTATCGCTTTCAGGCGTACAAACCCACGTGATACAAAATTTTGACAAGAATCAACCCCCAACCACGTGGGACACTAATCTAGAGAGTGTGTGGAACAAAATTATATTGGATAATTTAAATCTTTTTAACAACTAAACAACACGGAAAAGTGGGGCGTGGCAATATTATTCGGCCCCCTTGCGCTCATATTTGTAGCGCCACCTTTTGCTGCA